CTATCCTCTCCTCTATCCCTCTTCTATCCGCCTCCCACTCTCTCCCTATTTATTTCAAAACCCCCTTCCCCTCCCCCTTTTCTGATGAAGGGTCTAGGCCCGAAACGTCAGCCTCTCTGCTCCTATGATGCTGCTTGGCCTGCTGTGTTCATCCAGCCCTGCACCTTGTTGTCTCGGATTCTCCAGCATCTGCAGTTCCTACTATCTCTAGACATGTCTTCATTGTGGTAAACAGCCTCTGTACTCACTAAGAACAGGGATTTCAATGCAGGTTTCCTGAAGGTTTTGAAAAATAAGAAACCATCGAACCCTTGAATGTTCCACTTCTGTATTTACATACTAAAGTGTCAGTTTGGCCTAGTGGTAGCACTTGAAAAAAATTGTGGGTTGGATCTTCCATCCACAGATTTGAACGCCTTATCTGAACTGACATTACAATGCAATACTGAGAGAATCAGAGATGCCAGATCAAATGTTAAATTGAGGCCCCATCTTTCTGTTCAGCTGAATGTAAAAGACCTAGTGGTCCTATTCAAAGAGTAGAAAATTCTTCCAATGCTCAAGTCATCAGCAACATTACCATTGCTGGCTTCTCAAGCACCTGCAATTTCATTCACTTCACTAGCAATAGCCATATAATCAGCTGCCAAGATCCTAAACTCTAGAATTCCCTCCTTACACCTCTCCACTTTTCTACTTCTTTTACCTACTTTATGGCACTCCTTAAAACCAACCCTTTTTGATTGAGCTTTTACTCATTTGCCTAATATCTCATTAAGTGGCTGGGTCTCAAATTTCCTCTCATAATACTCCGGTGAAGCAACTCAGTCAATTTTATGATGTTAAAAGTGCCATATAAATACAAGTTGCTACATACAATTTGAGTTGCTGTAATTGCTTTCATTCGAAATAACAGGAAACACACATGACACAGCTGAAGGTATGCAGAAAAATACCAAAGAAAACTGTATTCTCTTTGACATTTTTGAGTTCAAGTTTTGTTCCTGTTAAAAATGGACAACATTGATGGACTCAAAATGACCAACACTGATCACAATCATACTTCCGGAACCCCTGTATTGTACAGACATTTCAGCTGAAGCTGACACAAAGGACACAAAGACAAGCTACCTGCTTCCGGCCAGCTGTCTCAAAGGGCAACATCAAGACCCATTATGCTAAAAAAATCTAATGCTTTTACAGTTGCTTGGTCACCTTGCAATGGAAATTAAGCTACATTGTCGGTTAACAAACTTCTCCTTAGCCTGCAGTGGTGAACCCTCAGCATCTGAAATGTTTTTGTCACATGACTGAAATCAGAGCTTGTTGATTTGTTTAAATGCACGATTCTGTAATTCTAAATCAGATGCTGCCTTAACGTTATGAGAAGAGCAGCTCCAGGCTTTCGCAGCTAGAAGGTCTGCTCTTCATCTCTCTCTCTCAAAAGCATCAGAAAACATCTCAGATATTCCTTGCCAAACTGGACTATTTCTCAGAGTACAAGAAAGAACATACAAAGATTGCAACTTTGACTGCCATCCAAATGCATCTCAGCTCTCAGAAAAAGAATTACAGCAAGATCAGCCAACTGACAGACTCCCAATTGGAAGAAGTTAATTTACATTTCAAGGTGACCAGATAACGGCAAAAGCATCAGTGCTCTTTCTGGAATGATGGGCTTTCATATTGCCCTTTGTCTACAGATAGCTGGAAGCAGGTAGTTTGTCTTTTGTCCTTTGACTCCAAGTCACATAAGTGAATACCAACATCGTTGATTTTCTAAAAAAAAATTAATAAGTTGTCAGTCCTTTCCTTTCTTTCTACCTTGTGTGCTTTCTGTGCATAAAATAGCTAAGCAATTCCTCGTAACTTGAATGTTTTGTTATTAAACCTTACATTTGATTTTAACTTAAAGGACTTTAAAATAAAACAAAGGCAAAGTTGCATTCTGAAACAAAAGTGGTTTGGATAAGATGCTTTTGCTTATCTCAATAAGGGACAAGAGTAAAACTGAAAGGAGTAAATTAAATAGTACCTCACAGTCTCATGCGTAAGAGTGAAAAAGCAATAATAATTTAAATTCACCCCTATTTCCCTTTTGTCCATGACACATGACAAAACTTTTTAGCTGGCTATGTAGAGCTGTCCAATATATCTTACTATTTATTACCGTAATTTACATGCTGCATCCTTGTGGAAAATATGATAGATTGAAATATTTTCATTTTTTAAAAATCTAATTTCATGAAAATAAAACTGAAAAAAACTTGTCTGCCCTTTATTAAGAAAAAGATAAAAACTAGCCCAAAATAATTCATCTCTCAAACAAGCATAAATTATAAGACAAAACAAAGATCTGCAGATGCTGGAGATCTGAAAAAAAAAAGAAATTGCTGGAGAAACCCAGCAAGTCTGGCTGCATCAGTGCAGAGAAAATAGAAACAGAAACAGCATAAATAAGTCAACTTCTAGAAGTAAACTTAAATATGGGTGTCAAATAATAAATCTAAGTTATTCCATTGTAAATATACCTTAAAGATAGGAAGCTTTTGCCTCTGTTGTTCAATGGAGAGGGATGCATATCGATTGTAAATCACTGCAGTGCCACTTGCTTCTGCAGAACTCATTCGCTCCTCGGATATACTCACTCCAGGTCCCTCAGTACCTAAGCAACGGGATACAGTGAAACCCAATTTTAAAATATGTATTTTTACTTGAAATAAAACTTAATCTTTCTCATTTCCCTCCTGAAGGCTCACATTCCTGCCAAGGGTTGTGTTTAAACTGTGAACTTTCTCAAAAATTAGACGAGGTATTTAGCAGATTAGTCAATCATAAAATACATTTCAGTCCTACCCATCATTCACATTAAGTCATAATGTGTCATTGTCAGAAATATGGTTAATGTTTTCCCCTCCACTGCCCCAAATTTGAAAAGAAGGTAGGACATTACAAACATAAGAAATAGGAGCAAAGATCATTTGGCCCCTCACCCCTTTCTAGTCAAATGGCATAATCCTACAATTATGGCCAGTCCTGATCCCTTTAAGAGCATCAGCTGTAGCTTAGAGTCACCATTTGTGCTGCTTAATCAAAAGGAAGTGGGTTCAATTCTTTCTCCAGAAAACTGAGTACACAAATCAAGGCTGACACTCGGGGAGTACTGCACTGTCAGAGGTGCCGATTTCAGATGGCCTGTAAAATGAAGGCCCAGTGAGAAATTTCTGTTTCTTACATAACAACAGTGACTAGACTTCAAAAGTACTTGTTGGTTATAAAAGCATTTTCAGACATTCTTGAAGGACATCTGATAAACATGAATTCTTTCCAATGTCAGCACTCATTTTTATAGCCAGAAACAAAACTATGAAAGTAAGGACATTTCAGTTGGATTGCTTGGAATCCAAATTCACCAAAGGTCATATTTTATTTCAATCTGTTCACAGAATGTGGGCAGAGGTGGCAAAGCATTCATTGTCCAGCTCTAGTTGCACTTGGGAAGGTCACAGTGAATTGCCACCTTTAAGACAGCCAAGTTGCTTGTTCAGGCAGTCAGTTAAGAGTCAACTACAGTACTTTGCAATGATGTGGAGTCACATGCTGGCCAGATCAGATAAGGAAGTCAGATTTCCTTCCGAAAAGGATATTAGTGAAACAGATGGATTTTTACTACAATCCAGTAGTCCATTACTGATACCATTTTTTAAAACTCCAGATTTAATTTAATTGAATTTAAATTCCCTAGTTTTCATAGTGATATTTCAATTCACATCTCCCAGTTGTTAGTCCGGGCCTTTGGAGTGCTCACCCTATAATGTGGCCCGTGTTCTTATTCCTCACAAGATGACACTCCAATGCATTGTCTCACTATTCATTAGGATGGCAGCATTTATGGCCAATTCCTAGTAACCTTTGAGAAACTACTTTCTTGAAACATTACAGCCCATTTGCTGTATGTAGACCCACAGTGCTATTCAGGTGGGAACTCCACCTTTCCTATAAGAATCACGTTCTCAGTCATGTAATCATCACTGGTGGTAAAAAGAACTAGGGTATTTCCAGACAGTCACATGGGACAAAGGAGATACACTGAGCCCACTGCTGCTCCTACAGGCCAGCATTTGATTAAAGTCAGTCAGAAAGGAAACTTCATCCTTCATTGCAACTAAGGAATCTCAGAAGAGCCCAGTGTGATGATGTTGTTGCTGGCCATTTACAAACATACTGATGTTCTTCAGGGTTTTAATCACCCAAAAGCTTACAAACCGCTTAGTACCTGAGGTTTCTAAACATAAATTCCTATAAAAAAATTAAAACAAAAAAAATGCTGAAGAAACTCAGCAGGTCTGGCAGCATCTATGGAGAGAGATGCAGAATTAATGTTTCAAGTTCAATATGCCTCTTCTTCAGAACACCAAAGATTCTGCCAGACTTGCTGAGCTTCTTCAGCATTTTTTAAGTGTTAAATTTGATATAAGACATTTACTGTTATCAACCTCAGACAATGAGCAGTTTGTAAACCGTTGCTTATGACTGCACTATAAAGAAAGCGCATGGAAATAAAAATAAATACTGCAGATGCTGGAGATCTGAAATATAAAGAGAAAATACTGGAGACTCTCAACAGTATGGCAGCATCATCAGAGTTCTGAAGAAGAGATAAATCGAACTTGATATATTAACTCGGTTTCTCTCTCCACAGACGCTGCCAGACCTGCTGGGTGTATCCATATTTCTTCTTTTAACTTCTGATCTCTAGCATTCGCAGCAATTTGCTTTTATGTTTTTGTAAATTCTTTATAAGATGTGATCACAAGACCTTAGGAGCAGGAAGGGGTTAGTCTGAGGCTCAATTCTTGACCGAGAAGTCGGCCAGAGCAAGAATAAACACAACACCAAAAGGACATGAGGGGGGTGTTGGAGAATGATCAGGAAACTTTGTCGGGTATTTAAACGTCGAGATAAAGTTACCATAACCAATTCTCTGGGAACCTTCCTGCGATACTCCCTTTTCCCAAATTGACATAATACGTCCATTCTGACAGCAACCCCCAGCCGTCCTCTTCGTATTAGAACGTACAAGATTTTTCTTTAATTTATGGCTCTGTGGGCTACCTGCCGCTCCGCAGCAACATCCCCCGCGCCGGTGCCGCTCCGGCTTTTAACTTATTCCCTTCAATATTTCATTTTTACCTGGTTTCCAAAACTTCGGCACTAGCATGGGGGCCGCCATCTTGGTGTGAAAGGTCACCGGGAGATCTGCCAATCACTGTGACGTCACCGCTGGGGAGCCCAGCTCCTCTTTGCAGAGTTGCATTGGGACACATTCAGCCCAGTTATGACAACCTTGGTAATTTTTAGGAATAAAAGGAATAACATATGTAAACGTCGCAATGCACTTGTTGGTTTGCTTAGCGGTAGGCCAACTAGAAGAATAAATGATGACTCCTGATTTACCTCACAGACATTTGAGTGTTGGAACACTGATTTAAACAAAAGAAAACACTGCAACTATAATATAAATATTTCAAAATGATTTTTTTTTTCAAAAAAGGAAAAGAAAGGTGTGACCAGAACTTTTGAACTGGCAGAAGAATTTGAATGAGTTAAGTGGCGTGGGATAAATTAAAACTAAAATAGCCTTGGAGGTAAAGAGATTAAAGCATTGGATGTGGTATTAGATAACGATGATAAGTTGCTAGAAGTGATGGAGTTGATCGCTCTGAGGAAACAGCTAAGCAAACAAATCGTCTTAGCACCAAAACTTTAGTGTTACGGCTCGAGGGTGGAATCGGAGGGAGAAAATGGAGTAGGCAAAGGAGGGACATGTCAGCAAATTACAAGGGCCAGTTACAATTTAGATGGTGTTTGGCTAAAATATAAAGGAAATGCAAGAAGGGAGCGATTGATGAATGGTGAAGTGATCCATACGTGAACTGGTATCAGCCCAGGAATGATTTCAGGCAAACCAAAGAATGCCATATTACTTCGGTGAACGTTTTAAACAGCAGCTGAATAATAATTTAAGAAGAATATGTGTGTGTATATATATATATATGTGCAAATTATGAAACCTTGTGGCAAGAAAAATGCCCATATCTGCACATTGATTTGGAGAAAAATAGCAGGATATGTACAAAATACAGTCAAAGCAATCTCCAAAAGCATCAGCTTTAACATGATAGGTAAGAAGCACCTGATTTAATTATGACAAAAGGGTGATTAATATCTGAAAAGGACTCCCAGATGAAAAAGAGGATATAAAAACACTGGAATCATTTAAGAAACAATTAAAAATTTCAAGTCAGAAATACTGGGTCTTCTTGGATTGATTAATTAAGATGGGCCAAACAGCCCTTAATCACCATAATTATCTTGTAGAAACATTAGAAAGAATTCATTCTTGTGTACTAACAGAACATATTGGGAACAGTAAAATAATTGATGCACCGTTAGGTTTGAATAATAGGAAATAAGTCACAAACTAAGGAATTAAATAGGCAAGGTATAAGGAAAGAATTGGAATATATTGAAAGAAATTATTGGTCTGATGAACAGTGATGTTGAACTGCAATCATCACTTACAAAGGGTAATAGTCAGGATAATAAATGCACCAATAAAGGGGTCAGAAAGGTGGGCTCATTAAAATAAATTTGAATGTAAATGGTTATTTTATATCATCTCTCACATATTTTTCTCTTTGGGGATTGGTGGCAAAGCGTTGGAAAGATTAGCAGGCTGATCATCAATTTGTTGCATCGTGTCACAAACGCTCTTTCCACAGCTAACTCCCAGGGTGCAACTTGAGGTTCTGATTCAGAAGTAGAGGTTCTACGCACAATGACAAGATCCTAACTGAATGTCAGTTGATCATTAAACGTCAGAAATGCTAAATAGCTTACTCAACAGGTATCTTGCTTCATTCCTCACCAAAGATGGAAAATGTCACAGTAAATGTACATAGAAGTGAGAGATAAGGAACAAAGACAAATGATAGAAATTAATAAAATTAAATAAATGAAGGGAAACAAATAGATATTGTTCTTAAAAAGGAAATGGCAAAGAAGTCAGAGATGCATTTTACAGCGTTGAAAAATAATTTGCCACCACATAATTTAGTTAATTTACAAACAGAGACAATCAACACAATTGTGTTTAGAATTCCTACTGGGAGATTTGCTTAAATTGTTTCACTAAGGACAAAATCTGAGGGTGCTTGGAAAGTGCAAATGGCCTTCAATTCGGAAGGTACATTTAACTGAATAGGCTTCTTTGATAGTCAAGGATGTATTTAGATGCAGAAGGATCAATGAATGACATATACATGGATTCTGTAGAAGTATCTGATAAGGTACCATACAGGAAATGTCTAAAATAGAGGGGCATGAAAGTGGGGCTAACTTACTGTACAGATCAGAAATAGATTATCAGGTGAAAAAACAGAGGTTGGGATGAAAGGAATCCCTAGACCACAATGAATGGTGCATTAGCTTTTCATTATGTCTAATGGGTACTCTTCGAACAAATTATTAATGGAAAGTCATAGCATCCATTTTATCACAAGATTGTCACAGCAGAGAAGGAGACCATTCAGCCCATTATGTCTGTGCTAGCTCACAGAATGACAAATGCATCTAGTGCTATTCCCAATGTTCTCCCTGTAATGCTGTAGTTCCTTTCCTTCCAGATAACAATCCAATTTATTTTTGAATGCTCTCTAGGCATTACATTGCAGATTTTAACCATTCACTGCATTATAGGAATAGGGTATTGTTAAGAAAAAAAATGTAATGAGGAATATTTTACATACTAATGCTTCACATTTAAGACATTTAATTCAGAACATAGATTTGGGATGCATTGTCCAAATTTGCAGTCAAAATTCAAGTCTAATAAAGGGTAAATGATCTTGGGCAGCTGTACATATTTCCACATTGTTGACAATAAACAAAAATGTCTTAGTTATCACCAGATTAAATGTTAAGCAGTTGACCACAAGGAAAAAATACTTGACAGCTCTATAATAAAATGGATTCAAAAAGAAAATATACTTAAGTTTGAGCTTTCTTCAGAAGAGAAGTTCAAAGAATACTTGAAAGATTTACTGAAAGGTACTTGAGCTATATATTTTGTTCCAAAAAAGTTTTTGTAATATATGGAATACAATATAATTGTTCATTTGTTTGGACTAAGAAATAGAATGTTATATTGATGTCACAATGTAGTTAAGTTAAAAATAAAGTTTTATTGATCTAATGTATCCCAGAACGTTGTGGGAAGTAAGGGAGGAAATTGACAGACCCCTTGAAGGAACATTTGCATCATCTAGAACTACAGGTGACGTGCCTGATGACTGGAGGGTGGCTAAAGTTGTACTTTTGTTTAAGGGTAGTAAGGAGAAACCGGGGAACTACAGACCTGTGAGTCTGTAAATTGTTGGAGCTGATTTTAAAAGAAGTAGTTATAGACATTTAAGAGGCAAAAATTGATTAGTGTGGTTTTGTGCAAGAAAAATCTTGTCTCTCAAACTTGATTTGAGATTTTTGAGGAAGTTACCAAAAAGATTGAAGAGTTCAGTGCAATAGATGTTGTTTACTTGGACTTTAGTAAAGCCTTCAAAGTTTCACATGGTGGACAAATTATTAAAGTTAGATCACGTGATTCAGGATGAGTTTGCCAATTGGATATATAATTGGCTTAATGGCAGGAGACAGAGGGTGGTGGACGGTTGCTTTTCAGACTGGAGGCCTGTGACCAGTGGTGTTCCACAGGGATCAGTTCTGGATCCTCTTTTGTTTGTCATTTATGTGACTGATTTGGATAAGAGCATAGAAGGCATGGTTAGTAAGTTTGCAGATGACACCAAAATTGGTGGCATAGTACACAGTGAAGAAGGTTATCAGAGATTACAAAGGAATCTTGATCAAATGGGTTAATGAGCTGAAAAATGGCAGATGGATTTTAATCTGGGTAAATATGAGGCACTGCATGTTGGTACAACAAATGGAGATAGGACTGATACAATTAATGGTAGGGCCTTATGTTGTGTTGTAAATCAGAGGGACATATGGTTTCAGGTACATAATTCTTTGAAGTTTGCATCACATATAGACAGGGTGTTTAGCATACTTGCCTTCACTGCTTACTCCTTTGAGTATAAGAATTGGGAAGTCATGTGGTTGTACAGGACATTGGAATGCCTCTTCTGGAGTACCGTATCCAGTTCTGGTCACAGCGTTATAGGAAGTTTATTATTAAGCTGGCAAGAGTTCAGAAGAAATTTACCAGGACCCTGCTGGGTATGGAAGGTTTGAGTTATAAAGAAAGGCTGGGACTTCTTTCACTGGAGTGTAGGAGGTTAAGGCATGACCTTATAGAAGTTTATAAAATCATGGAGGGGTATAGATAGGGTTAATGGTAGGCGTCTTTTCCCTCGGATGGGGGATTTCAAGACTGGGGGAGCATATTTTTAAGATGAGGGGAGAGAGATTTTAAAAAGACGAGGGGCAATTTTTTTTAAAAACTACAGAGGCTGGCTTGTGGGTGCAGTGAACTTTCAGAGGAAGTGATGGATGTGGGTACCATTACAACATTTAAAAGACATTTGCATAAGTAGTTGAACAGGAAAGGTATGGAGGGATATGTGCCAGGAGCAGGCAGGTGGGGCTAGTTTAGTTTAGGATTATGTTCAGCTTCATTGGGTTGGACTGAAGGGTCTCTGTGTGCTGTATGACTCTGTTTACAGAAAGATTTAGGTGGGGGTAGGAGGAAAAAGAAGGATGGAGGCACCTGGAAAACAAAGAGGTAATGACAATGGAGAAACCAACGTTGGACAACACAGGAGGCGAAATCAACACTTCAGGAATGGTCAGTACTGATCACACACACAAACTGTTTAACATTAAAATCTTGACATGTGGTCATTCTGCAGGTATAATTGCAGGATTTGGCAATACTGATAACAGACATGCAGCAGAACAATACAGGTCAGGTTGGTGATATCATAACAAGAATCAAATTCCAAATTCTTCTGAAATATACAGATTTACTTTAAAAACAGTTATAACCTTGCAGAAATTTACTGACTGATAGAAAATTTTCCTGTTGGAGCCATCCATGATTTATTTCACCTGATTCTACAAGACAATAATCAGAATGAGTACGTAGCATTAAAGTCTCTATAAAACCAAAGCTTAACTCACAAACACTATTTAAAATGTTACCATCTGATATATATTAATGACTTTTGGACTATATCATTTTTAAGTTTGGGATGTATTTTAACACTTAAGTCACTGGCAGATAATGAACATTTAGTGACATATCACAGTTACCCAAAATGACATTATGCTACAATTAGTCAATTATTGCCATCAGGATTTATTTCGCCAGCAAAAAAACTCAATGTCTGCCTATTAAAATATAAACAGAAGTTAATTTATAGATCTACATCACTCCCAATCATAATCAGAACTTTGTTTAAAACAAAGAGGGAAGAAAGTGAATGGTGATGATACATTACCAATTATATAGTTGGTTTACTAAGCACCATTTTAATGGGATTCAAGGCCTTAATGCATTACTACTTGCAACAAAAATATTTAGGTATGTTATTTCATGAAATCCAAGTAAGAGCACAGAATGTTTTAGTTACAAGTATCTAGTTGCTCCAATTTCCAAAAGAATAATTCATAGTAGCCAATTAACATTTCTCAACAAATCCCATGCTTTCTAGTGGTGAAAACAGTTTCTCATCCTTATCCTCTCTGGTAAAGGAATTTCAATACATTTCACATTACAGAAAGAAATTAAAAACCACAAGTGATACTTATTCTATAAAGTTTCTTTTTATTAGCAAATTGCCTGTATTACAATAACTATGGTTAATTGAGACACCACCTTCAACTACCTTAATATAAGTGGCAATAGCAAAACATACAGTTGCTAAGCAGCATATTCTTCTACTTCAGAATTCTAAAATCATGAGAAATAATTCTCGGTTTCATAGTTACTAAATAAACAAGTTGTACAGTATTCCATAATAAACTTTTTAAAAGTGTATTGACTTCAAAATATCAGTATTTTAAAAAAATCTTTATTGCATTCCCATAATAGCCAATCTTGCAACCTACAGATTAATGCTACAAATCTCTATAGATCGAATTCTTACACCGTTTCTATAATTTTCCCATAGCAACAATCCTCAAGTGTAGCAGTTTCAATCATTTGAAAAGCAAAGGCAGAATTTCAGTCTGGGAGCCCAGAGTGGCAGTGAACATAGACCAATTCTTTAATTTTACAGCACAAGGATATACATGTAAAAAGACAACACAGACAACAGATAATATGGCAAAATAAACAAAACACAAATACCATCTGATATCCCAGCCACCAATTAAATGGATATCAAGTTTACATTATCAGTCCCATTTAAATGTTTGGAGGTATTAATCCATAAAGTTTAAAAACATTAGATAAGGCAATATAGGCATTCTCAGTTTTATGTCATTTATAAGAAAGCCCCTTAAACTCTAATGTTAGGTGCAGAGTATAGGACAATGGGACAACAATCGGATATGGTTGCTTTAACAGCCAGGATTATGCACAGATTGGGGGTTACTTTAATGTAAGGCATTACAAATTATGTTTCAAAGTCTCTGAACATTATGTTCCTACTGATCAATATTGCTACATTTTTATTATTTCACTGAGAATAATTTTAAAAAGATTGCGTCCATCCCTAGCAATGAGGAGCCAGAATATGGAGACAGGAATTTCTAGCTCATGCAGTTACTTTGATACTAGCCATTCTCTGGCACCTGAATCCATTTCAGAGCTCGTTAGTAAGGATTTGGTAGTGAAATATCAAGGCTGTTCAAGGTATTTCCCATGGCTGTGTAAACAATGGTCTTCTCTACATTCACATTAATTGTTATTTCAACTCAGAAGAAATTACAGAATAGTTGACAAGAAACAAAATAAAACATCTCTCAGTGCAGAAAGTTAGGATTGTATTGTGTGACTGGGGCAGATTAGTGGATGTATAATATCCAAAAACAGGCAATTGAAAATAGGACAGCAATTCTTCCACTACTTTCTAAAGCTGTATCCAGTTTTGTTCCTAATGTTAATTGGGATTTCAGCCTTTATTTCCAGTATCTGGCTGGATAAGAGCATCCAAAACCAATTTCCCATGACTTGCACAAAACTTTCAGTTATTGTGAATTTTAAGGGCATTTGATTAGAAACATTGGGTACATTAGGGCAAAGGCATTTCCATTTGTGTGAATTTTGAAAGTAAAAAGAGTCATAAATATGAGATGGTCAACAACAAATCCAATAAAGAAACTTCTTTATTCAGTGGTGCAAATGTGGAACCTGCTACTTCATAGACTGGCTGAAGCAAATAGCATAAGTCCCTTAAGGGGAAGCTAGATAAGTACACGAGCTGGAAATAAATTTTTAAAAAATTGAATAGGTTCAGATGAAGTAATGTGCTCAGATGAAGTAAATGTGCAAGGAGGCTCGTATGAGACGAACATTAGTATACACCAGTTGGACCAGATGGCCTGTTCCCTCCACTAAATTCTACATAAAAAGAGAGATATAAACATGTCATTTTATTGTACATAATCTATGACGTACCTTCTGGTTCCTACTCTTCAGAGGAATTGTGCATGTACATTTCTGAATTTAGGAACTGAATGCAGTTGTGGTGAATAAAGAAACTCCCTCTCCCTTAAAAATTAAAAATCTAGTCAACCAATATGGTCAATTTTGGTACATCAAGCTACAAGAGAAAAGAGTTAAATATCAAAGTTGTAAACTTCAACTGCAAATGAGACAATGCATTTGAATGTTTCCACGTACATGTTTTACATTCAGTTTTACTTTTTTTAATTTTCTAATAATGAACCACCTTAAATACAAAACTGGAATTTACAACCAACTCAGGGATGGATCTAAGTTCTTTTCAGCTTGCTGCATCTACCAACATTGGTTCTTAGGATGGTTTTTCTCTGTTCATATTTCAACAGCATCGTCATTTTTCTGTCCTCATTGATCACACCCACAATTTGAGAGAAACAAAATGTTAACGAGGCACTGGAAATCCACAAGGAAAGAAAGATTTGTATTTATAAATCCTCATGACCTCAACATTTTTAACTCATCGGACAGCAATTTTTACATCCACCCAAGAGGGTAGGCAGGACTTTGTTTTAACATCTTATCCAAAAGTACTCCCATAGTACTGAGTTAAATTATCATCCTAAACTTTGCATTCAAGACTTAAGTGACACTTGAATCATATCTCAGAGGTTAGAGTGCTAACCACTGAGCAACACCTGATGCACAGTGACAAAAGGTAACTTATTAAAAAAAAATACAGACAATGTTTATTTTAGAGGAATCAAAAAAAGTGTCACTAGTGGAAGTAGTCCTCCTCCTCCCTCACGCAAAGCAATTCTTGTAAGAACAGCCATCATAGTCTTATTTGTTAACTGAACTTTATACAGAATCTCAAACCCATTCAGCACTAAAGAGATCCCGGTTACTAATGTTAAAACTTGGCCAAAGACAACCATTGGCAAAGTTTGACCAATCACCGAATAATCCACACAGTCTGTGGAGAAAAATAATCAGGCGTGAATTGAAATGATGTTTAGTTTCGCAGCGCCAAAGAAGCCAACGCAGATACCTCCCTGAATCCCAAAACTCTACTCCTGCTCATCAACTCTCTGCTACCCCTTGCATTGTACTGGCCCAGCTCACGGCTGTGGAACTTGTCCAAGTGTCGGTTGCTCGACAGAATGGCAACCATGCTGTCCAGCTTGGAGCGAATGGTAGTGTAATGGAATTGACGTTCTTTGGTGAGTTTCTGGAAGCAGTTCCTCAGCGTGGAGTTGGTGCTGTGGAGACCTGCATGATGATAGCTGGGAAAAGTATGACATTGCCGACCTTCAGAGGTGGCAGAAGATGAAGAACTACTTGAACCATTGCTGGACTCTGTTGGGGAAGGAGGAGGCTGATCGGGAGCATTGGTTGACTCGCCAATGGCTGGATATCCATCTGTATCTGACTGCTCTGTGAGTGACAATGGGACGGCAGCAGTGATGTTTACAGCCTGTGCACCAATTCTGGAACAAACAGAGGTCTGAGTTGAGCTTGATTTTGATAGGAGTGTAGTTTGGGTTTCCACCTCCTTCAGCAGGATACAGGTTTGTGTGGAAGTGTTGTGCATCCCTGGCTGTACTTGCACATCTGTCTGCACAGACACGCTCTTCGCCTCCTTGGTCTGATGAGAGGCTTTGTCACTGAGTGTGGATACTTCAGACACATGACTGCTGGCTGAGCCAACAGAAGTTTGTGAACATGGCTTTTTCTCAGCTGTTTGGCCCAGAGCTTCAGGTTTACACCTTACTGGGGAACACGGTACTATTTGTTTCTCCAAGGCATTGTTGGCAGTGGGCTCTCTAGACACCAACTTCTTTGCTGCAATCTCTTCACAGATAGCACGATTCCTAAAATCCGCTGACTGGGTTGGTATTAGCTGTGACTGGGCATACAGTATTCTGAACTCTTCATCATAAAACTCAGACAACTGTCCTGAGAGCACAGTCAAATTACTGCGATTCAGCTTCCCATCAGTCCAAGTAAAACTGCAGAAGGAAAACAAGGGTCAGAAAAAGACAAACACTAATTATGAAAGTTACATGCCGTGATTGTTCCAAGGACTGGTTGCAGACTAATCTTAAACTAACCAACAATTTCCAAAGCAGTTTCCTCTCCTCTATCCCAATCTACCTCAGGAGTCAATCACTATTGCTGAGGCTCGTACCACTGGCTAATCTTCACCTACACAGCATCATACACTCTGCAGGCATCTAAGCCTAACTTCCAGCTTCCCACTTCAAGGAACGGAAAGTCAGCTGTGGCATTCAAATGACTAACTTCTCCATATAATATTACTGAGTAAAAAAGCTTGCATTAGACAAGCAAACCTAAAAAAAGTGAGAGTGTGCAGCAGATATGGGTGTGGGTGGTGAATATCTATTATACACGTGCACACAAGCGCACGCGCGCGCACACACACACACACACACACACACTTCCAGGCAAAGAGCATTCCCGGAATCTCTCTCATTCTCACCCATTTAAAAAAAAAAACTTGAATGGTCAACCACCTTTGGGAAAATAATCATAACATAAAAGGAACTAAACTAGGACACAACCAGCTATTTGACTGACTGCAAATTATACAAAGATTAAAATGAAAATATCATTTAATTTTTTACCTGTAAGAGCCAGTGGCTACTTTATCACAATCAATTAACATGAATTTTTCATGGACTCTGCCAATAACTTTGGCTCCTGTTCTTGTGCAATAAGTACATCCCGTTATTGTGCGGACTCTCATCTTCTGCAAGGAAAGCAAATGAATGCGTTTGATATCAGGCCCAAATGAGCAGACCACAGATACACATTTTTATGTTATATCTCCATCTCATTGGATGGATAGACTGTGTACAGAGTCGTACTGGATATGAGCCAGAGGACAATGGGCCACTGTCATTAGACCTCGATGCCTGGAGTCAGAACTGGTAAAATACTCAGTTTCTCCTCCTGAGCATGAACAAATAACATCTCAGATTTTGCTGCACATCTATGATAACCCATGACTAACATTTTGAATATTCCTTCTTTCTTTGGCTAAGTATTTGCCCTTATCATGGTTGACAGAATCCTAACTGTATCTGTCCCAATTCCTGCACTTCAACTCTCAGCCCTAATCCTCTTCCCAGACTTGCATTAGGGTGCACCCCTTGAATCCCACAATACTTTCTACACAACAGATCACTATTTTCCACTCCCTCCAGCGTGATGTCACCAAAATAAAAAACCCCTCCTTCGTCTAAAATGGGTTTGTTCCATCTGCCGTAGCCCAGAACACTCCTTAAATCATCTTCCTTCTCTCCCCTGCATCTAACACCACTTGATCTTTCGCCTTCCAAGGCCTAAAACACTCATCCCATTGGAAGCAATGACCAGAACAGCCACGAGGGTAGGATGAATTAGGGTGACAACCCCAGTCCCACCCTGGGTCTATAAGCATCAGGAGGAACCAAAAGTCAGGGTGAGGAGTCACCTTGAATCAACCTTGGGTCAGTGTGAACTTGTTGGACTGAATGGCCTGTTTCCACACTTTGGGGATTCTGTGATATGATGATTCTACGAATAGAGGGTACGGTAACTCTGGTTATCACGGCTGCCTCACAGCACCAGGGACCTGCGTTCGATTCCTGCCTCAGGGACTGTGTGGAGTTTACACATTCTCCCCGCGTCTGCATGGGTTTCCTCCGGGTGCTCTGGTTTCCTCCCACAGTTCAAAGATGTGCAGGTTAGGTGGATTGACCATGCTAAATTGCCCATAGGGTCCAGGGATGTGCAGTCTAGGTGGGTTAGCCACAGGAAATGCAGGGTTACAGGGATAGGGTAGCAGGGTGGGTCTGGGTGGGATGCTCTTTGGAGGATGAGTGTGGACTCGATGGGTCAAATGGCCTGCTCCCACATTGTAGGGACTGTATGAGGTGAGAATGGCATCATGTGAACTTTTGTTTTATTTTTGATTTAGTTTGAAAGTGGCAAGGCATCATTACCACAAAGAAGCTTCACACTCCAGTTGAAGAAGGGTCATTGGACTCAAAAAAATTAATTCTGTTTGATCTTCACGTATGTGGCCAGACCTGCTGAGTTTCTCCAGTACTTTCTGTTGAAGGAGCTTCATGGGTTATTAGCAGAACAAAAGCAAGAAAAGCTGGTGGGAAAGCAATGGGAGTTGGGAATGGATGCCACTGTAGAGTATGATTGGTCCCAGGGGAGGGAGGAACACAGTTGGTTCATGGGTATGCAACCCATACAGGTTGCTCTGACAATGACTTTTATTTCTTTCAGTTCAGTATTGTGGTATTGTGAGCAGCAAGTACATCTCCTCTACAGTAGGGTGATCAAATACAAACTGGGTAACTACTTTGTAGATGATCTTTATGCAGTCCTCAAGCTTGACCCCCAAGCTTCCAGTCATCTCAATCCCATTGGCTCCCACTGTCTCCTTGGCTTCCTGTATCAGGCTTTTGGACTCAACATTTTGATCAACAATTTCATTTTGCAACCTCGGCCCCATCTTTTCTCTCCTCTGTCTTCGCATATTTTAGATTTTAAATTTTAAATTTACCTTTCTGGTTTTCACTTTGACACAATAGCTTTCCCTCTTTTTGCCATTCACACCACATCCACATTCTTTGTTTCTTTACTTTTCCCATAACCACTACCTTTGCATTGCACGACAGCCATTTTTTTGACATTTAATCTCTTCTTGTCTTTCACCTTATCATGGACCTTCCCTTTTGTTCATTTGCAAACCCAGTCTCATACCTATGAGATGGTTAACTTTTTCCAATTCTTACAAAAGGTCATTTGCCTGAAAATGCAAACTCTCTCATCCCCTATACTACCTAAGCCACTGAGTACTGTCAAGTTTCAAGCAAGTTTGATTTTTGTGTGGACGACTGAGACTCAAGACAGAGACACAGGAACAAAAACAGAAATCGTTGGCGACAGTCAGCAGGTCTGGCAGCATCGGTGGGGAGAAAGCAGAATTAATGTTTTGAGTTCTGTGACTCCTCATCAGACCAAGAGGTACAGCACATTCGTATTGTGTTGGTCTGGGGAAGAATCAGGTTTTGTTCTCATTATGCAAGATTGTGGGGGTGTTACAACAATGTCAGAAGAGGATGTGAAAAGAATAAGTTAATTTTTCAAAGCAGCAAGCAATTGGAGGCAACTGAAAACTGGATTTGTATTGTAGCAAATGGAAAGCAACCAAATCAGTTAGACAGGCAGTAAAACAGCAGCGGATAGAAAATGAGCTGCCTTTCTTAATACTATAAAAGAAAAACACAAGCTATACACACTCCAGTTCCTACTTAGCACAGTGACCGCAGTGAAAAGACAACTCCTTACAAACTGACAAAGGATTATTACAAGACCACGGCTTTTTAAAAATGTTGTTTATGGGATGTAAATGATATGGGTAAAACCAATTAATGCCCATTCCCAAATTATCTCGAGGTGGTGGTGGTGAGCTAACTTTGAGAACTGTTGCAGTCCACGTTGCACTCAGAGTGCCATTAGGGAGGGAATTCCAGGGCTTTGAGCCAATGTCAGTGATGGACAAGGAATAGAGGTTCCTATGATGGTTCTTACAGCAAGTGCTGCCCAAGTCCCCCTTCTTGGGGGAGGGGCGGGGCACCAAATGGCCTACTCTCGTTCCTATTTCTTACATAGTTTCAAGTCAAGATGGCGTGAGGCTGGGAGGGGACCTTGCAGATGACGGTGTTTCCATGCATCCACTGCCTCTTCCCTGGATTTGGAATGTTGGCACGTTGCTGCAGTGTAGCTTGGAGATTTTGGGTACCCTGTTGGATAGCGTGCTTTTCAAACAGACTGTTATTCCGATGTACAAAAGCATCTTGAGTGTTTCTGAAGATGTGCACATCAAGGAAAGTGGGCAACATTCCACCATAATCTCGGACTTGTGCCATGAAGGTGGTGGACAGGCCTCAGGGAATCAGGAGGAGAGTTACTCACCACAGAATTTCTAGCCTGTGGCCAGCTGTTCTAGCCACACCATTTACGTGGCTGGTCCAGTTCGATTTCTGTTCGAGTTCCTGTCTATCTCTGGGCTTAGGTTGAAAACGTACAGTATAACAATTCTTTGGTGCACAAGACCATGATTCTTAAAAATCTCCCATCTTTTCCTCTTTCCCCCCGAGCCTTTTGAAATCCTGCACGTGCTCTCGATGCACAGTGGTTACCTTTCCTGAAAAGGGAGCATCCCATATCTTCTCCATTCAAACAAAGACCTACCCTCTCCTCCTCCACCCGGACACCAGCATCCCGACACATTTTCTGAAAGAGTGGGAGGCCAAATTGATCGAGGAGGATGTAAACAGGGACACGTCTCCTCCGGCAAGCCTCATGGAGATCCTTGAGAATATCAATATCAGTGAAGGTGTCCATTACCAGGGCAATAACCTACAGGACCAAAGACAGGAGATAAAGTTACAATTCAGTATTTCAGATTTCTACACAGAGTTTGGTTTGGGATGGTGGAAGACAGATTCAGCTGATGCACTTTTGCAATCAGAAACAGCCAGCCCCATTTAACTATAGCCATAGCTCTTCTAGAATAGGTTTGATATTCCCCACAAGTGTAACACATTACCTTATAGGGAGAACAGCAAATGGGAATGGAGGAAGGGGGACTTGGGCAGCACTTACTGTAAGAACCATCACAGCACGTGTGAAGTCTTCTCGAAGACCATAAGACACAGGAGCAGAAATTAAGCCATTCAGCCCATCGAGTCTGCTCCACCATTCAATCATGGCTGACAAGTTCCTCAACCTTACTCTCCAGTTTTCTCCCCGTAACCCTTGATCCCCTTGACAATCGAGAACCTATCTATCTCAGTCTTAAATATACTCAATGACCTGGCCTCCACAGCCCTCAGGACACAGATAGTAATAAAAATATTGCTTACGGGGAAAAAAAGACAAGGTGACCAGAGGGCTAACACTGTCCTCTCCCACTGTTCATCTCTTATTTGTATGACCCCAGTTGTCTGAAGACTGCAGACCAAGCTAGCATCTTTTAAACGATATTGAAAACAAAATGGCCACAAGTCATTCAGGCTTCATGACATATGAAGATACATAAAATCCAAGCTTATTCACTGTATGGGCCATTAGAAAGTGATGGCCTAACTCATATTGAGGTAACTTAGGCCTTGGTGCCAAAGTGCTAAAAACAACAATGGATTTGAGAGAATGCGAATGAGCAAATAGATGAGTACTAGCTCAAGACAAATGTAAACAGCTCATTCACACGGTAACTCAATGGTTAGCACTGCTGCCTTAAGTGTCAGGGACCCACGTTCAATTCCACCCTCGGGCAACTGTCTGTGTGGAGTTTGCATGTTCTCCCCATATCTGTGTGGGTTTCCTCTGGGTGCTCCGATTTCCTCCCACAGTCCAAAGATATTCAAATTAGGTGGATTGGCCATGGTAAATTGTCCATAGTGTCCAGGGATGTGCAGGTTAGGTGGGTTAGCCATGGGAAATGCGGGGTTATGGGAGGGGTGGAAGCGGGATGCTCTTTGCAAGGTTGGTACGGCCACCGTGGGTTGAATGGCCTGCTTCCACATCATAAGGATTCTATGATGCAAAGTATGGATGGGCTTGCACTTCATAAAGTGGTTCCACTGTTCAGCAACATCTCATTGCACCGTAGCCAGTGGGCGCAGGTTCATTGCACCCAGCCTCACGCATGCATAAGTTGATAGAAATGAGCAAATGGCAGAAATTAGTGTATTCAACATTTTCTTTGCAGCTCTCCTGCTATCCTTGCCTCAGATCTTATCAGATGCCCAGGAGCTCAAACATCACTGCAGCAGCAGATCTTGCTGTCATATTGAGATGCCAAGACCCTGGAGGTGCGCAGCAGAAGCATTGCCCATTCCCTTCTCCAGAGAAAGGTGGTTCTCTTGTAGTTCTCATTGTTACTCAGATTTACCTTTTGTTAGCCCAAAGAGAACGGAAATAATCCCTTACACCTGCAAAGACACCTCCTTGAAATTTGATTGTTCACGATTAGTGAGGAACTGCATTCTGAGCTAGACAAAAGGTAAAAAGTGTGCATTACTTTCAGAAGTATATTCACCACCTTCTACTGAGCATGCACGAGATGCAAATTCATCCAAAAGGTCTTCCTGATACTTGCAGTTGAGAAGCTCAACCAGCCTTTAAAGTTGTGAAAACCAAATCACAAAAGTTCATCCCATAATCAAGTTTCTGAATGTTGGCCACCCATCTATTTAGGAACATAGGATCAGGAGCAGGCCATTCAGCCCCTCAAGCCTGTTCTGCCATTCAATGAGATCATGCTGATCTGTGGCCTAACTCCATATCCCTGTAGCCTTTGACCCATGTCCCTTAACACCTTTGCCTACCAAAACTTTATCTATCCCAGATTTCAAATTAACTGAACCAGCATCCACTGCCATTTGTGGAAGAGTGTTCCAGACCTCTACCACCCTTTGAGTGTAGAAGTGCTTCCTAACATCTGAACAGTCTAGCCCGAATTTTTAAGATTATGCTCCCGAGGTCTAGAATCCCCAGTAGAAATAGTTTATCATTGTACATTCTATCTTTTCCTGTTAACATCCTGAAGACTTTGCTCAGATCACCCTTTAATCTTAATTCTAGAGAAAATAAGCCTAAATTGTATAATCTCACCTCATAACCCCTGAAGTCCAGGTATCGTTCTTGCAAACCTATATTTTACTTCCTAAGACCAATATATCCTTCCCAAGGTGTGGTGCCCAGATCAGTTCACAGTACTCCACGTAGGGTCTAAACAGGATTTTGTATAAGTGCATTATAACTTCTGCATCCTTACAATCTAATCCTCCAGATATTAAAGCTGGTATTCCATTAGCAGCCTTGATTATCTTCTGCACTTATCTGTTGTATTTTAAGAGATCCATGCAGCTGAACCCCCAAGTTTCTTTGGGCATCCACTGTATTTAACTTCATACCATCTAGAAAGTACACGGATTTTTTCCTTTTTCACCCGTCAACCTTGCTTCCCACTTCTGGGAGCATCACAAGATTCTGCCAGTGGTGTCCTACTGTGAATGCAGTCATGCCTTGCATCATGAGGAATGTGATTTGAATGCACTACACCTTGAATTCTATCCACCACTAGTAGTGTGTACATCTCCAAGATGCACTGCAGCAATTCAAAGTTTCTTCTGCAGCAACTTTCTAATCCATAACCTCCACCATTGTGAAGTACAAGTGAGCACCAGACCATACAAAGTTCCCTTCCAAGTTACACACAATTCTTATTGGGTCAAAATCCTGGAACTTCCTCCTCAACCTCACACAGACTGCAGCTCTATTGTTTAAAACAAAAAAAAAATATCAATTATTGGATGTAGGTATCACTGGCTGGGCCAGGATTTATTGGCCATCTCTAGTTGCCCCTGACAAAGGGGTGGTTCTTCGTCTTCTGTGAACTGCTGACCTCCTCAAGGTCTTAGTTACAGCCACACAGTGTTGTCAGGGAAAGAGTTCCAAGACTTCAAACTGGATTTTAAGACAACGATGAGTTCCAGGCCTGGACGACAACTGGCTTGGAGGTGGTGGTACCTGCTGCAACCCACATATAAATCCTAGATGGCAGAAATCGCAAATTCGGAAGGTGCTGTCAAAGGAGCCTTGGTGAGTTGTTACAAAGTAGATGGTCTACATGCTGCTACTGACCGTCAGTTGTAGAAGGAGTGAAGGTTGAAGGTGTTTGTAGTGATTGTAATGAGGTCAGCCAGCTGGACCTCAGAATGAGTTCCCCAATTGGCTAGATTAACAGCCCCAACCAGGGAGCCAAAGCTAACAGACAAAAGGAGATGCATCAGGGATTCGTAGAATCCCTACAGTGTGGAAACAGGCCACTCAGCCCAACAAGTTCACACTGCCCCTCTGAAGAGCATTCCACCCAGACCCATCCCCCTACCCTTTACCTGTAACCCTGTATTTCCCATGCCTAATCCACCCAATTTACACATCCCTGGGCTCTATAGGCAATTTAGCATGGCAATTCCATCTGACCTGCACATCTTTGGACTGTGGGAGGAAACCAGAGCACCCAGTGGAAACCCACGCAGACACAGGGAGAATGTGCAAACTCCACACAGACAGTCGCCCGAGGGTGGAATTGAACCCAGTTCCGTGGCGCTGTGAGGCAGCAGTGCTAACCACTGAGCCACCATGCTGCCTTCTGGCACTCAGAGCTGACTCCAAAGAGGTAATAGTAGAGTCAAGGACTCTCTAATGTGTGAATAAAGGGAAACTTGATGACAGGTTAATGGCCTCTTTGGAGATATTTCAGTGTTAGATGTTGCCAATCAAGTGGGTTGCTTTATTCTGAATGTTTTTGAGCTTCTTGAATGTTGGCGGGGATGAATTGATCAAGGCAAGAGATAATATTTCATTTGGATTTGTGCCTCGTAAATGGTGGCGAGGCTTCAAAGGGATTAGCAGATGAATTACTCACTGCAGAATTCCCAACCGTTGTTCACCATCCCCTTCTCAGGGGCAATTAGGTATAGACAATTACTGGCTTTGCCAGTAGTTCTCATATCCAATAAATGAATGAGAAAACACTTTCTGAAAGAATCAAATGGGAACTCTTGTGGTAAAGCTGTGGCACTGGCTCTGAACCGGAAACTCTAAGTTCAAGTCCCACTCGAGGATTTGGTGGCTAAGGAAAGTGCATTCATAATACGGCCAATAGTAATTCTAGCCGTATGCCAATGGCAGTTGGCAAGAGGGGGCAAGTGTGTCCTGGGCAGCCGTACTTGATCCAGAGTGGTGCAACTCAAGCCATAACCCCTGGTGACGGGCTGACAGCTTGTTCCAGGAGAAACTAGCTATGGAAACAGATAGAAGCATATGCTTTATCTGCTTCATTGAATTGAATTAGGTTTATTGTCACATGTGCCATTAGGGGAATCAAGGATTATGAGGAAAGGGCAGGAAAATGGGCATGAGGACTGTTGGATCAGCCATGATTGAATGGCAGATCAGGCTCTAGGGGCTGAACAACCACCTCCTGTTCCTACTTCATTTGATCTAGGCACAGGAAAGAGCCAAAGAAGTTAAAAAACTGATATTCCAGTCCAAAGTTATTGTACACCAAAGGCAGCTGATCAACATGTACATGTATATTTTATAATGGGTTTGTGATAGAGTTGTAATCCAATCATGAAGGCTCACATGACAAAAACCCTACAAGCTTTGCTCTTTGTACATTAGCGCATCTGTTGCGCAAGAGTGAATCACTGCACTATAATATATTCCCACAGACAGAATTCCCTCTATACCAAACACACCCAGACCATGCTCCCTATTTATTGCTACCAACTCTGCTATCTCCACAGCAACAACAGTAGATTCCAGTAACTGGAACTTAAGGGCATTGTGCTTTTCCTCTTGTTACTGCCATCAAGTCAGCTAGCATTTCCACTCCTCCTTCTTACCTTGGTGGGTCAATTTACCATCCAGGGCAGATCGAATCAAGACTGTTTTGTGACATCTTACAGGATTCTGTTCACGTTAAAGAATGAATGTAATGCCATTCTTTCCTGACTTCAGTTCTTTACAATTTATATGAAGTGTCTTAAAAAATGTATTGAGACATCGAGAGACCTAATGAAACAGAATTATGACACGAGCCGCATAGAGATAGCGGGTCAGATGACCAAAAACTTGATGAAATAGGTAGGTTTTATACGGGCATCTTAAAGGAAAAAAGCAAGGTAGAGAGGTGAGGAGAGGGACACCCGAGCTTGGAGTCTAAGCATTGGAAGTCAAGTCCACCAATGGTGGAGTAATTATGATTGGGAGTGTGCAAAAGGCCAGGAGAGCACAGATTTCTTGGATGGTTGTGGGACTGTAAGTGGTGATGGAGATAAGGAGTGTAAATTCATGGAGTGATTTGAAAATAAGGACATAAATTTTGAAGTCTGGACATTTGACTTTGAGCCAACAACTTACAGCTAAATAACTACTTTCATAGTTAAGAGTATCCTATATCATAGAATAAAAAGCAGTTTATTTTTGTTTTATTGTACTAGGTCCCACAAACGAGTGTGATGATCAGATAATCGCATTAGGTCTTGGTTGAGGCATAGGGACATCAGAGAAGACACCTCCAGCTCTTCTTAGAATGTGCCTTGGGACCTTAACCACCCAATGGGGCAGCTGAGTCTGTGTTAGAACATGCAATACTCCCTTGGTATTGCTCTGGACATGTCACCCTAGATTTTGTGCTTTATGTTTCTGGGCCTGGTTTGAACTCACAGCTCTTTGACTCAGAGGTGAGGGTGCTACCGATAGTTAAATAATTTATTCCCTCTAAAAAAACGTACTACATAACTTATCAGCACTCACTTCGTGCATTCTCTACTTTTTATGATTTCATGCATCTGTAAAATTTTGCACTTTTTTTGCAGAAAATTTCTGTCTGTACACATCCTGCCTGAGGCACAGAACAACTAACTTCACAGTTTTAAAAACATGCAAATATCATTTGAACATCTAACGTCCATTTGGTGCACAAAAACTCATGGTTTGGACAAACATTAAAAGCAGTCACAGTGAACAAGAAACCTGAGCCCTATCTTATTTCATTGCAGGTGTTAAACGACTAAATGAACAATAGTTTCTACATCAGAACTAAATTTTGCTGCTGACCTTATTGTGCACAACAGGATCTGTTGGACCATCAATGAACCTATTTTTCTAAACAATCCGTTCAGAGAGGTTATTGCACATCTTTGGAGCAGGTGGGACTAGAACCTGGGCTTCTCAGTCCAAGGATAGGAACACTACCACTGCACCTCAAGAGGGTCATCAATTAATCAGGACACTGAATAACAGTTCAGCCTTTCACTGTCTGAACATGTTTTCACTGCAATCTTACTATGTCTAAATGCACAGACAATAAATCACAGTACCCCAGCTACTGTAGCACAAATTTTTCATGAAACGGATAGAACAGATCAGTAGGAGTGGCTTATTTGTCCCACTCTAGAACCAATATATTAATTTGTCAACCATAACAGTTCTATCTCCATCATTTAAATTCCTCACATTTGTTAGTAATCTCAATACATACATTTCCCAAATACTTATCTTCTGAAATTTCAGGCTTGATTCTGCACCTATTCAGTGTAAAAAGTTATGGGAACATAGAAACAGGAGTAGGCCATTCAGCCCTTTGAGTCTGTTCCACAATTCAATGAGATTGTAGCCAATGTGTGACTTAACTCCCTGCATCTGTCTTTGGACCACATCCCTTTACTTACCAAAAACATATCTATCTCATTTTTAAAATTAGCTGATCCAGCATCCACTGCTATTTGTGGAAGAGAGCTCCAAACCTTTGACACCCTGGTTGCATAGAGCTACTTCCTAACATTTCTCTTGAACTGTCTGGCCCCAATTCTCAGACAATGCCCAAGTTATTTCTGGTATTTAGCTTTAATTGTCTTTGAACATTTTCCCCTCTTTATTCTTTGAAGGGGATGAGAGACCCTCTGCTAAGGCTTGCATTATTTATCCATCACAAATTCCCCTTGAACTGAATGGCTTGCCATTTCAGATCCAGCCACATTGCATGTAGGCCAAAACAAGAAGGCTTTTCCAACAATGGATGACCATGCAGTGGTCACCGTTACATTAAACATTGCTTCATATTTTCAGATTTAGTCACTGAATTTGAATTGTTCCCAGCTGCTGTGATGGGTTTGGGACCTATTTAATCCAGAGAGTGCAAGATCTGGATTACAAGGGCAGTGACATTACCAAAACCTTTGGTGAAAATGGTGGGGAATCATTGCCTGGCCAAGAATCCAACTCAGGCTGTAATGGTAAGAGCAAGAAATCCTAATCATTATAGGACTGGGGAGCTCTAATTTTATTCTGTATCTGACATGGTGTGTTTTACACTCAAGTCTTAATATAGAACAAGGTAAGTGCTGAAACCGAACCCTGGGGAACTCCACCGTATCCATTCCACCATCCAAATAAGACCACTGGCTGTTTCCAGTCACTCAACCTTTCCTTCCACTGGCTAGATTAAGTCTGTTAAAATGTAGCTCTATATTTTGGAAAAAATAAAAAAGTTTCCATCTTCGGCATTTAACATGTATTAAATATTCAACATACAAGAGAATCTAGATTGAACTGAAAGGTCCAAAATGAAAAAAAAAATTCTGCTCCATTACCTTCTCTGCCTTTCTGATGAGCTTCCTGATCGCCTCCTTGCAGCTATAGATGAACTCCCCATAGCTGGGCTGGAAATACACCTCCACCTGGGTCACACCCCGGTACCAGTTGCTCGGATACACCGGCCACCCAATGTCCAGAACCGGCACCTCAACGTCTGAGGCATCCGGGAAATAGGTCCCTGAGGAGAGGTCACTGGAGCCGGTGAAGGACTGCTCGAGTGGCTGGCTCTCTAGTCCAGGGGGGCTGATGGTGGATTGCAGGATGCTGGCGATCTCATCGGCTGACAGGAAGCCTTGGACTCTCTCCCTCTTCAGTAAGGCTCTGTAAGCCTCCTCGCCGCCGGAGATCAGCTCTTCCAAAGCCAGGCGCTGGGTCTCGCTGTAAAACTCCCTCAGTCCCAGCTCCTGCCTGGGAGCACCGCACCACCTGGAAACGATCGGCAGGTCATCTAGGCACTGGGAATCATTCATGGCCCAGGGTCCCAGGTAAAGCTGGAGATTTCAGACCCAGGGATAGTAGGAACTACAGATGCTGGAAAATCTTGTTATCTCAGATTTCAGACCCAGAGCCTGCTTTCACCGCTCCCTTCACTCCAGGGACAGGGGGGTCTTCAGCCGGCTTGCACGCCCAGAATTAGGGGGGGGGGGGGGGAGGGGGGATGTTCTGCCGGCTTGCACGCCCAGAATTAGGGAGGTGTTCTGCCGGCTTGCACGCCCAGAATTAGGTTTGCACAGACAAAAGTTTAGAGTCTTCCTTGGCGAGTCTCGAAATTCCCCTGTTACAAAAGCAGCCGCGCTCCTTAACTCGCCGTTTGTCTTCTTCCCGTTCCCCACGATTGAAATTCACCGACAGACCATTCAAACCAGAGACTACGAGAAGCGATTGGCTGCAGCAAGAGCTGTCGAACCGGTTTCCCGGCTGCTTCTCCCATTCCCACCCGTTCAGGACTCTCCCTTACTTTTTACTCTTTAACGGATTTTGACAACAGCCCCATCGCGATTGGCTACAGGTTTAAATTCATCCAAAAACAGCTGGGAAAGTTCCGCCCACTCACTGTTTTAACAGAGAGAGAGAGACCGTGTCTGATCCAACCAGGGACGTAAAAACATGAACAAGTTCCACTCCTTGTAGCGTTTAACTCTAATTGCAATATTTAGCGCGAAGTTGCCAGATCAAAGCAAGTCTAGGATCAGAGGGCATAATCTCAAAATAAAGGGTCATACGTTTAAAACAGAAATGAGGAGGAATGTTTTCTCTCCGAGGATTATGACTATATGGACTTGTTTAATCCAAGAGGGCAGTTGAGGCTGGGTCACTAAGGATATTCAAGGCTGAGATAACTTTTTTTTTAAATCAGGAAGGGGAATGCTTATGGGGAAGAGGCAGGAAAGTGGAGTTAACGTGGAGCCTCTCTGCTTTATTTTGAGGATTATCAAGTCAGCCATCATGGTGGCTCAGTGGTTAGCGCTGCTACCTCACAGCGCCAGGGACCTGGGTTCGATCCCACCCCTGGGTGACTACCTGCGTGGAGTTTACACATTCTTCTCGTGTCTGTGCAGGTTTTCTTCCACTGTCAAAAGATGTGCAGGCTCAGTGGATTGGCTATACTAAATTACCTGTAAAGTTCAGGGACGTGTAGATTAGGGGGATGGGTCTGGGTGGGATGCTCTGAGGTTCAGTGTGGACTTGTTGGCCCGAAGGGCCTGTTTCCACACTGTAGGGATTCCATGATCTCAGAATGGTAGAGCAGCCTGGATGGGCTGAATAGCCTACTTCTGCTCCGATGTTTCACAGTTACCTCTGTTTCTCTCCACAATTACTGACTGGCATGCTGAGTTAAAATTTACTCTGATATCAGATTTTCAGCAGCATTCTAGTCTTGTATTACTTTATGAAACTGAATAAAAACCAAAAGAATTGTGGATGCTGTAAATCAGAAACAAAAATAGAAATTGCTGAAAAAGCTCAGAAATTTCTGATATAACAAGGTGTAGAGCTGGATGAACACAGCAGGCCAAGCAGTATCAGAGGAGAAGTGTCCAGACCTGAAACGTCAGCCTTCCTGCTCCTCTGATACTGCTTGGCCTGCTGTGTTCATCCAGCTGTACACCTTGTTATATCAGATTCTCCAGCATCGGCAGCTCCAACTATCTCTGTCAGAAATTTCTGTCTTTGTTTATGAAACTGATGTCGCCAACCCTCCAGGATTGGCCAGGGATAGAAAATCATCTGCTAGTGAAAATCCATAGTGATTTTAATGAAACTTATTATTCATTTCCTGTTTAGACATGTTACGACAGAACTCTATGGCTGATAGTCCAGAGGTAGGGATTTTTTTAAACAACCTGTTCAGAGATGTTCAGACACACCTCTATAGAGCAGGTGGGTCTTGAAACCTGGCTTAAAAGGACACTACTAATGCAACCCCAAAGACCCCTTCAAGTTTATTTGCTGCAAATATGGTTGCGTGGGTAGGAGAGGTGAAACTCAAAGTGAAACAACCGATTGGCTCAGAAAGTCTCCAATTGGCTGTCGAAAGTCAGTGCTCCTGGACAATAGGCCAATAGTAAGAGTGTGGGGGTGGGGCTTTGGAGGTTATGTGATGAAACCTCCCCAGCAGAGTTGGCAATTTTAGGATACCTAATATATATTGTACTAATCCTAGGTCAGTTTTCTTAAATTTATTAAGGGAATTTGGGCTTTGTTTTATGGCTGATTCCTGAGTACGCTAGAAAAAAGTGCTGCTGAGCCACCTTCTGGAACCATACAAGCATTGGGTTGTAGGGACACCTGCAGCGCTGTAGAAGGGATTTCTCGGATTTTGTGACAGTGAAGGAATGGCAAAATAGTTCCAAGTTGGAGTTAAGGACGCTATCACAAAACTGATAAAGGGGAATCAATAGCAGTAGTATACTTGGATTTTCAGAAGGCTTTTGATAAGGTCTCGGACAGGAGATTAATTAGCTAAATCGAAAAGCACTTGGGATAGGAGGTGATGCATTGTCATGAATTATGGATTGATTTAACAGAGATAAAACAGACTAGGAATGGTCATATTGGCAGATTCTGATTAGTGGGGTACTCCAAGGATCTGTACTTGTGCCCCAGCTGTTCACAGTATATATTAGTGATTTGGATGTGGGAACCAAATGTAATATTTCCAAACATTCAGATAACACAGAGATAAGTGGGATAGTGTGTTGTGAAAATGTAAAGCAGTGGCTAGGCAAAAGCATGGCTGATAGAGTATATATTTTCTCCCATTTATTCATGGGATGTAGGCACCACTGACCAAGCCAGCATTTATTGCCCATCTTTAATAGCTCAGAGGGCAGTCAAGAGTCAACTACATTGCTGCAGGTCTGGAGTCACATGTAGGCCAGCCTAGGAAAGCAGTTTCTTTTCCCTAAAGGACATTAACGAATCAGATGGGGTTTTCCCCTGACATGGTCATCATTAGAGTTCTTAATTCCAGATTTTTATTGAATCCAAATTCCACTATCTGCTTTGGCAGAGTTTGAACCCAGGTCCCCCGAATATTACTTGGGGTTCTAGATTAATAGTCGAGCAATAATAGCACTAGGCCATCACCTCAACATAATAAAACTGAAAGGTTATCCACTTTAGTAGGCGGATCAGATGTTCAGAATATTTTTTAAATAGTAAAAGGTTAGAAAGTATAGATATACAAAGGGACCTTTGTCTGGTAGTAGGTGTCCTTATCAATATGTCACTGAAGGCTAACATGCAGGTACAGCAAACCTTTAGGAATGCTAATGAAATGGCAGACTTTATTGCAAGAGGAGTTGAATACAGCAGTAGTTACGTCATGCTTCAATTGTATAGAATTGTAGAGAAGCTTGATCAGACTGCACCTGGCATACTGTGTGCAGTTTTGGTCTCCTTATCGGAGGGAGGAAATCATTGACATAGAGTGCAATATGAGTTCAGCAGACTTGTTCCTGGGATGGCAGGACTGTCTGATGAAGAGAGACTGGACAATTTGCGCCTGTATTCTCTCGAGTTTGAAGGAATGAGGGATTGATAGACATGAGTGGTATACAGAGTTATGGGGATATTGTGGGTAAAAGGCATTGAAGTATTTGATCAACTATTATCATATTAAATGGTGCGGTAGGCTTGACATGTCCTACTCCTGTTGCTGTGTTTCTAAGTCAGAATGATGTGGACCTTGGAGAGGAATTTGCAGATGGTGGCACTCCTATGCACCTGCTGCCCTTATGATTCTAGGTGATACTTTAATGACACAATAAACTATTATTTGACAACTGGATTATTAGAATGGGAAAGGATTGTTGATTTATTATTTCCATTCCTCCCTGGGCTGCATATATAAGCCTATTGCTGCAAGATTTGTCTCACCCCTTGCCTGAGATGCTGTGTTGCCCCCAAACCACACTCACCTACTTACATCCATGACAGTGGTTATGAAGCATTTAGTGCATTGCCTGCCATCTTGAAGGGGGAAGTTGAGGTGGGAACAAATATTCATTCCTCAAAATGTTGCACAAAAGTTGGTTATTTACTAACCAGAGTTAGTGTCAAACTATGACACAGTTTCACAAACAGGATGAAAATAAGCAGAGAAAAACTGAATTGGTTAAAACCTTGTGCCAATGTACTGTCCACAAAACGGTCCCAGAAAATGATGGTTGGAGTTTAGGCAGTAGGTACACATATCATCTCGAGTTTATTTCAATCACTTGAGTGAGTGTCAGAGAGAAATCTTTCAGTGTACTTCTTGACTTATTATCCCTATTTTTTCTCTACTATTACCTTTCCCAAAGTAATCTCTCTGGAGTTGTAAATGTCTACTCATGATGCAATGGCCATCATGAGTGTTCACATTTGATGGACTATCTGGTCTTATACTGCTCATCATTTTCATATGTTCACAGAGATAGGTGACTGATGATCTCCATTCATGTCAACATCTAATTGCACAGGGCCAGATATTTATTCCCAAGATTAAATGAGGCAAATTATTTTCCATGTCCAGATCAGCTATAACTTCTGCGTTCACTTGACTATATTCACATCCAGTCAAGAAATATCTTGATTTTAAAATTAACAGACTAGTTTTCAAATCCCTCCATTGCCTTGGCTCTCCCTAGCTATAACCTCTCCAAACCTCTCAATCCTCCAAAATATCTGTGTCCTTCCAGTTCTGGCCTTTTGAGCATCTGCAATTCTAATAGCTTTACCACGAGTGGCTCACTTTTCCCCTGGGTTCCACTCCATGCAATACTTTTCCTACACCTCCTTCCCTCTCTATTTAGCATTCCATCTACAAGTCATAGAAGTCCACAGCACAGAAAAAAGCCCTTTGGCTCATCAGGTCTGCTCTGGTCAAAAATTAGCACCTCATATTCTAAGACTCTCTTTAAACTTCTCTTTGACCAATCCTTTAGTTCCATGACCTAAAATCTCCTTTGTGTTGTTTCTGTCAGATTTTATTTCAAAATGTTTCCTTGAGACACATTATTACATTAAGCTATTATACGAATATGTTATTGTCCATTCTATGTTATGATACTAACAAAGGGTTATTTGGATGTAATGTTTTGAACATCCTGATTGGGAGTTATATAACTGCAAATCCATTTTTCTTTATATCTTCCTTGTAAAGCAGAGCAGCCAAACACAGGACTTGTGGACTCATGCCAAAAATAAATGACTGTAAAAGTTCAGTATCATAAAGTACAAAATGAATCA